GGGGGGGGGGAGGGCACGGCTTCGTCGTCCTATACCCGGAAGGCCCTTCCGGCAGAGCTAAGAGGTATTGCGTTTCGATCTGATCGCTTCTGGGGCGCTACTGGTGCGATCAGCCCCTCCCCCTCTCCCCTCATCCCGCCGCTCTCCTACATCGTCCTATACGTAACGCGCGGAAGGGGGGAGGGGGGGGGACAGCAATTTTGTACGCTCTTAATTCGCATTCGCACAGAAGAAACGACAGGCCGGCATGTAGCCGAGCGGCCGCTGAAGGAGGAAAAGGAGGCTCATCTCCAACTAGAAGAGAGCGGCTGCGGGAGAGTCACGTGTCGCAGCCGCCTGCTCCTGCTTATTCGCTTGAGTCTCCTTTTTTGTTGCGTTTGCTTTGAAATCGTGTGTGTGTATGTTGCCTGGCGCGCGCTCGCGGAGCAGGGAGAGAAATAAAGTAGGGGGGGGGGGGGAGGAGGGAGGCTACCGCGGAGCAAGAGAACACACAGATAAAGATAAAACCGTGCTCGCCTTTTTCTCTCACCTGGTAACGAGGGCGTGTCAAAGCGTGCCCTCCACACACTCACGTGTGTTGTTCTGACCCTCGGACCTCTCGCAGCCGTGCCTGCTTTTCTCCTCTCCCACCACATGACGCGCGGTTGCTCTCCCTCCATCTACTATACCGCCGACAAAACACGTATTCAAACATAAGCCGCAGAAGTGACTGACATATGCACACAGCTTTGTCGCCCGCGCGGGTTAAAAAAGATTATGATGTTGTCCTTTTATGTTGTTTGGAATTTTAAGTTCTATTTTTTTTAACACCCCGCTCTAAGCTTTATGATAAAAAAATACGAAAACAAAATGCCTAAAAAAAGGCCTACGAACCTTGGAAGGCACGGTGCGTAGTACGCCGCGAATAATTACTAATCGGTGTTATACACTATCATAAGGCGCGACGCGCAGCGTAAATAGAGGAACGGAGCGAAATTAGTTTGGTATACATTAAGCCCCCTTCCCCTCTCCAGGGAGAGAGAGAAGGAGATGTATCTCTTCCCCCAGACTGACACTGGGTGGGTTCTGCTGCGCGCTGCTCGCTTTATGTCTCCTTGTTTGTTTTCTCCCCGGCGGCTCACGGCCGCCAATGTCGCCGCTAGAGGCGACGAGGGGGAATTTGCACTCAGTCGCGTCAAAGCATTTTACCCTCTCTCCTCCCACCACCACTTCCGTCCCTCCCTCTCTCTCTCTCTCTCTCTCTCTCTCTCTCTCTCTCTCTCTTGCTCTCTCTCTCTGTCGCTCTCTCGCTTGATCTCTCTTTCGCTCTATCTCTCCCTCCCTCTTTCTCTCCTTCTCTCTTTCTGTGGGGTGCGAACAGTAACAACAGTACCTACCTTCCCCAACCCCAAACCCTGTCGGAGGATCCCCGGATGGTTAAATAAGAAACGAGGCTTCTCTGTCTCGAGTTTCGAGCGTGCACGACATTATTGTCTCCAATCAAGGATTTCGCGTTCCAAACAAAAATGTTTGGTTATTTCCAAGCAGAATGATGGGGGGGGGGGGGGCATGCATTCGGAACCGGTCAAACTTCTTGAAAACGCCTTCTTGGAAAATAGTGAGTTCTGATTGGAAACCGGGGCTCTCTGCTTGGAGACAGATAAATCTGCTTTGTCACACACACGCTTACACACACACACACACACACACACACACACACACACACACACACACACACACACAACACACGTCCACCTCCCTCCCTTGACTTCCGCGCCCCTCTCCCGGAGGGCGCTCGCCTTTCGGCCTGACTGACCCCGTCGCTTTTCATTCCCGACTCTCGCGATCCCCATCCCCATTCACAGCAGCAGGAAGCACGGCTGGCCGCCTGCTCGCGACCCTCGCCCCGTCCGCCACGCCCTCTCTCTCTCTCTCTCTCTCTCTCTCTCTCTCTCTCTCTCTCTCTCTCTCTCTCTCTCTCTCGCCCCATCATCATGAATCACCGAAGCAATTGTCTCCCAATCTTTGCCGACAACGCCGCCCCGCCCCGCCGAGCATCAATCGGTGTCGCCCCTCCGTTCTTCACAATACACTTCGCGGCGTTGAAAAGAGAAAAAGAGTGCGACAGGTTTTGTGTTGGTTCTTGTTGTTCAGTGAAGCCGTCCGGACGGCGCAGATGACGCTGCGGCGAGGAGCCCCGGGAGGTGCGCCCTCTGAGAGGCAGGCGCTACAGAGAATGCCTCTCCCGGAGTATCCAGGTGTCACAACGTAACGCATGTTGATAATCATTCATATTTTCTACTAAAGCATCACCTTTGGCGGGGACGAAAATCGTGTTGGAAAACCGGGGAACATAGAGCGCTGAACTGAAGTTAAATACAATGCAATACGATCCAAATAGAGCGAGATTGTGAATCCAATTTGATGACTCCTGGAGGGGCGATATAAATTACATCGCTCGTTTGGAGTCACTTTCGCGACGAATATGACTTATTTTGAGTCATTTTCGCAAACGTCGATCGTTTAGAGTCGTTTTTGCGACATTTTCGTTTCGCAAAAATGAAGTCATAGGTCGCTCTGTTCGGGCAAGAAAGCTCGTTCTACGTTTTACAGTGTACTTTTTGATCCAAAGTGATTAAGTTTCGCCATGTGCATTAAAAGAAAATCGTTGAAAAAAAAATACAAAGATTAATCAGTTAACCTTTGGCATTTCCTGTCGCACTACGCGTTAACAACACCCAGGAGGCGTGTGGTGCTGGCTGTCAGCGGGAGCGCCTGCGAAGGGAGGGATAGGCCAGCCGCTCAACAGCAGGGTCGACGGCGTGGCCTACCAGGCGCCCGCGAATGGTGGGATAGGCCACCCGCTCGACGGCGGAGTCGCGACTGCGGCCTACACAGTGCCCGACGTCTCGCCCCGCCTAAGCCATCCAAGCCGTGTAAGCGAGCGATGAATTTTGCAGTGCTGCGCAATTTCCACGACCGACGCATGAGCTGTTGTGCGAAAAGACAGCTACAGTAAAAAAAAAATAGTCGCAAGAGTTAAAGGGAACTTTTTCATTTCAATAAAAAAAAAAAAATAAAAAAAAAAAAGGATAAAGGAAAACTGCGAGATTTATTTTTACACACACCAGCCACTGCCATATTTTTCATCGATCGACGAGAATGTGTTGTTGTCGTAAATTTACGACCCCGTTTTGCAAATGATCGCGTTTCTTTGTTCTCACCGGACTTGTGCCTTGCCCCCAGGACGGCCGCCATGTCGCACCCCAGCAGCCTGCTCCTCACGGCGCTCTTCCTCACGGCCTCCATTGCGAAGCCGACCTCCAACTTCAGACAGGTGAGCGGTAATCCACTTGCGTCGACTTTGTTAGGGCAAATTCGTCGGATAATTGCACGCGGGCACCTCACCCCCCTCCCCTCCCCTCCCCTCCCCTTTTCAAGCGGCTTACGACGTACCCCGTCGGGGCGTATGCTAGCTGACTGGCATGCAAAACGATATTTTCATGCCTCTCTCAAGGCACTTAAATGGACCAAAGGCACGAAAACTTTACACCTTACGGAAGTTTTCATCGGGCCTTTTGGAGCGGTACGCGTACGTTTATTCGTGCGCAACGCATCGATGCACAAGACGTCCAGGGTATAAACAAAATAAAAATGAATTAAAATGAAAATACAACTTATTGCTGGTGCGACTGATATCCGAACTCACACCCACCCTTAAACGTGCCTCGGTGTTTTCTTATGTGTCAGCGGAGTTTCTCGAGGCCGACCGCCGACCGCACGCGTATGCCCAAACGCGTATTCAAAGCTTTCGCTATGCCAACCCACCCCTCCTCCCCCACCCCGTCTCCTCAGAATATGAGCTATTTAGTTTGTGTCCGGCAAGCAAAAGCACGCCGAGGTCTGGAAAAGCACTGCCGCCGCCGGTCCGAGCGAGCGAGCCTCGAGGGGGACGGAAACCAGAAGAGTTGGAAGGGAGGGGGAGGGGTGGATATTTCTTTGCTATAGGCTTCTACTTTGTGGTGCAGCGGTATGTGAAAGTGCCTCGGGCCCGCGTCCCCGCTCTCGGCGGAGAGCAGCAGCAGCCGAGTCTGCTTCATAATGGAATGAATAAGGGAGGGTGAGGGAGGGAGGGAGAGGGAAATAAAAATAGAGCATAGCACGGAGATGTGGGAGCGCCATGCTGACGGTACGGATCTCCAGCAGCAGTGGAATGCATGTAGGGGTGGTCTTTTCCAGGTGAGTGCGCAGAACGCGTATCAGGGGCCCGCACCACGCGGCGGTCGACTATGCTGCAATGACGCTTTTCACATTTTCAATCTGCATTGCCTTCTCAGAGTGCAGTGCACGAAGAGTGCACTGTGAGCAAAAGAACAGTAACGTTTAAGTCTGGTAGACAATTCGACTGGTCAGCCATTTGCTCAACCCCCACAAAAGCTCTGCCTTCTGCAAAACGTAAAAAGGCCGACCAAGCGGGGCACACACAAGGTAAAACATAATGATGTTATGGATTTGGTGACAGGTTTTACAACGGCTTTTGTCGCACAACAATGTTTTTTACATGACAACGAATTTCGCTCAAGAGTAAATGATTTTCTTTTGTCAAAAGAATTAGATCTTGAGTGACAATGGTTTTTTTTATAAGTAATTTATAAGTAAACGCTTTAATTATTCCCTAACAAACATTGCTATTACATCACAAACAGCGTTGTTGTTGTTCAACAATGAAAGTCAGCAGAAAAATCTGAAAACAATTTGTTGCTAAGTAGCAACATTACTTTTTACGGTGTTTTACAGTGCACCTTGCGTTTCCTGATTTCTGTGACAGTCTTGTACCGATTAGCTGCTGCTGCGCCGTTAGCCGAAAGGGACGAGTGCAGCGAACACGTCTCTGTTACGCTCTCCTTTATCACCGGACCTGGTTAGGGCGTCATTAAGAAGCCGTTAGTAGAGCCAGCGAGTGATATACTATGTCTGCAGGTCCGGAGCAGCTGGCAGCCCTAGCAGGGAGAGGGGGGGACAGCTGTATGGGTCTCAGACTAGAAACCCAAGAACACACACGTCGCGAAACTAATTCACGACACCACAACAGAGGCGCGACCACTTCTGCTCACACTTTGATGGCAGAAATATAATGGGGGGTCCCTATGGATAGACTCCAATGTGATCGTCATCCTTTTGGGACAGTAAACTTTGAATTCCCCGCCGGCCCCCTCCCTATAAAGTCGCACGAAAGGGATCAAACCATCAAACCTGCACTGTTAAAAATAGTAGGGAGGTTTACAGGAAAATTTTCCTTGGACGCAAGTAGTAAAATTACAATTTGTAATCGTAAAAATGCATGCAGTACGTACTAACTTAAAATCCATTCGCGAGTAAAAAATGTGCTCTCGTAAATTTACAACTTATGATTATAATTCGAGTTTACAAAAATTTTGTAAATTTACGACGATCTTTTTCACAGTGTGAGTGCCGACAGGCTGCCGCACCTCCTCGGCTGGGGCGGTGGGGTCACCCCACCACTGGGGTGGCGCGGCGTTTAGGAGGCGTGCTCCGGGGCGAGCGAGGCGAGGACGAGAGGCGTCGCAGGCCAGCCGGCGGCGGCCCTCAGCAACAAGTCGAGGAGGGCGCCGCCACTCCCCTCCCCTCTCCCCCAACCTCCGCGGCAGAGGCGAAGGGCGAGTGTGCTGAGCCGTGCTGAGCTGTGCTGAGCGCTTACAAAGTGGCCCCCCTATATCTCATAGACAGACGGGGCGGCGGCGGCAAGTGCGGCAGGGAGCGAGAGCGATAGAGAGAAATGGGGTAGAGGCATGGAGATAAATGAGGAGGAAGGAGGACGGAGGCGACGAAGGGGAAGGTCGCGCAGGGCGTCTTTGGCGGTCGGTCTTTTGCGGGGGCGGGTGCAGCGCGCTTAAAAAAGGGAGCGAGAGAAGAGAGAGATGAGATAGTGCAGGAGAGAGAGAGTGAGAGAGAGTGGGGGGG